TCTTTTTACATATTTTGTTAAAAGGCCAAATAAGGAATTCAACCCAAAAAAAAAGTCATTTTCGGTTTTGTTTTATTCTTGGATCAGGCTTTAAAGGGCTAAAGGTCTGGGGAAGGGGGCGGGGCCTCACCCGATAGTCGTAGGTGGCGTCGGGGTTCTCGTCGCAGGCGATGACCTCCGGCGCCATCCAATATGGCGTCCCGATGAAGGTGTTCCTCCGGCCCACGGTCCGGTCCAGCTGGGCGCTCACGCCGAAGTCCACTGAGACGGAGAACACCAGAGAACCCGTCAGAGGAACCGGAAAAGCCCGGTTTGACCTCTGACCTCTAGATGAAACGGCTCTTTACTTCCTGTTTCAGGGATTTTCTGGTCTTTAAGCGAAATAGCAGAAAAACCATCGACCATTATCATAACCTCTTAATCCCTAATGGGGTTGGGAGGGGGGCGGAGCCTATCCCAGTAGCCAATGGGGAGAGGCGGGGTCACCCTGGACGGTCCCCAGTCCATCACAGGGACACACAGAGACACGCAAGGACCAACAACCACACACTCTCACACTAAGGGCAGTTTGGAGTCCAACAACCTAACATGCAGGTTTTTGGACGGTGGGAGGAACCCGGAGAACCCGGAGAGAACCCACAGACACAGGAGAACATGCAGAACCACCCAGAAAGGTCCTGGTTCCCCCGGGACTCCAACCCAGAACCCTCTGGTCCTGGTTCCCCCGGGACTCTAACCCAGAACCCTCTGGTCCTGGTTCCCCCGGGGACTCCAACCCAGAACCCTCTGGTCCTGGTTCCCCCGGGGACTCTAACCCAGAACCCTATGGTTCTCCTACCCAGCTTGACTTCGGCGTTCTCGGTCAGCAGCACGTTCTGGCCCTTGATGTCCCGGTGGATGACGTGGTGGGCGTGCAGGTGAGCCAGGCCCTGTTGGGGTGGGGGGGGGGGGGGGGAAACACGGGGTCACGCGGGGGCCCCCCGGTTACCCGGGAAACCGGGGGTGGGGGGGCCACCGTGCCACACAGACCCTGAGGATCTCCCTGGAGATGTAGGCGATCCAGTCCTCCTTCAGCGAGTTCCCCTTGGTGTTCTTCACCAGGTCTGTGATGGATCCCGCCCCACAGAACTCCATCACCAGCTAGAGCCGAGAGCATTTTAACGTTAAAAAACGCTTAAAATCCACAAACAGAACAACAGTGGAGCCCAAAGCTCTTCTGTGTGGGCACATACGCCAAAAACCTGCTTCTATTCTGCTCTAATCAAGTTTAAACCCAAAATAAAACCAACTAAATACACATAAAGTACATTTTTTAATGCAGCTATTCCA